ATTAAATAAAACATATCTTCATATAATATATGTTTAAGTAATTTTTTGTTGCAACTACTTTAAACAGCTACAATACACGTTTATTTATGAGACGAGGCCGAATATAATCGTAAGATCAAACGAACTTACCTTAAGTGATGTTCGATCTTGATTATATGAAGGCCTCGTCGAAATAAATAAAGTCCCAACCCAGACCCATTTTATGTAATCCCTAATATTGTTGCAACAACTCTTTAAAATAAAACTGAGGCAACGGACGCGTTAGAGAGTGGAAGGGAGTCATAGTAGTTTCTTTAAAGTTGTGAATATTTAGCCAGTGGCGGAGGTACTACAATACACGTTTATTTATTTCGACGAGGCCTTCATATAATCAAGATCGAACATCACTTAAGGTAAGTTCGTTTGATCTTACGATTAACGATCATGACATTCTATGTTCATTACAAATGCGTGCATGACTATGGTCTCAGTAAATTTTTGAGCAAAATGGCTCTGTCAGATGAGAATTTTGCGAATATCGTGTTTATATGGCCTTGGGTGCTATCAAATGAGAGGTTCTTACATATATCAATTTATATTTTGAGAAAACAGACAATCTCGAAATGATTCGTGGCACTGTTCCAGTGACAGAATCGAAGACGAAATTGGAAATACTCAAAATGACATATAAGTACGTAGGCCGTAACTGTGGAAGCCTGAAAATCTTGATAACGTTTTTACTTTTTTGATTCATCTTTTTTGGCTTATTATTTCAGCCACTTATAATGCTTTAACTGTAATCCCTCATAATTTATTTGCAGGGTTCTGAAGTGATAGGCAAGATAGATTCGTAGGACGCATTCTCAAGTATGAATAGTTAGCTAGACATATTAGAATTAGAAGCAGGAGTTAAAAGGGATAGAGGTAGACCTAGATTAGATTACTATTCGCAAATCGTTAGAAATATGGAGGGAAGTACGTGTTCAACCAGTCTTCGGGTTGATTATCATGAAGATAACAATAAATTCTTGAAATGCATTTAATAGTTCTTCTTTCATCGTAAACTATACCACATGAAACATCACATAGTAATTTGTTGAATTATACCTTATTCAGTGTTTTAAATGTAGGTTTCCTTTGGTATTTCGGGCGAATTAGTGTGCTCCAGTTTGCTACTGCATCTGACTGGCGCCCAAACTCCCATCTTCCTCCTTGAACTCTTCGTCCTTTTCCTGTAACTAGTGTCTGACTTTTTTTATAATAAAGATAATAGTATGGATAATTATGCGGACGGATAAGTATTTGAAAACCACTTGCGAAAACAACCCTAAATAATAGCGCTTCGTCATGACTTATCAAAAGTCACGTACTACTTACAATACTTAAGAATGATTACCTATAAGATTGTCTTCTCTAACGGTGGCGAGTACTGTGAACTATGAGTTCCAATCAAGTAGGCTCAGTAAAGTTAATTATGTTTAGGGTTGCCATATTTGGCTAGGGTCTAGTCAGGACGTTGTAGGATTATGTTCATAAAAAAATTTAGGATAGAATAATTCGAAAGTGATGTTACAGGTGAATGATGAGGATATCGTGGATAGAGAAGGTTAGAAATGAAGAGGTATTAGAAAGAATAGGAGAACAGAGGACTTTATGGAAGTCAATAAGAAATAGGTAAGATAAGTTAGTGGGACACCTTCTCAGGCATGAAGGTTTAGTCAGACATATTAGTGACTGAAACGGGAGTTAGGAGGGGTAGAAGTAGACCTAGATTAGATTACTGTTCGCAAGTAGTTAAAGAGATGGCTTGTTCTAGTTTTTGGGAAATGCGAAGACTAGCTCAGGATAAGAAAGAGTGAAGTTGCATGTCCAACCAGTCTTAGGACTGACGGCCTTATGATGATAATGATTTTAAGATTTCAGAAGATCGATAACTTGACACTGCAAAATCGACTCCATAGTCTCTAGGAACAGGCGATTTTGTTCATCAGACCACTGGCCTAACATTCAATATTAACGAAAAGACTCTTTTCACTACATGGTATTGTGGGCAAGGATTACAAACAAATAACAAACAAATTTTACGTATTGGTATTTAATTGTAGGATTGTTTATTTCCATTTCCCTTCCATAGAATTAATCTTTCAATGCAGATGTAGCTTCTACAAAGTTCCTAAGATGCTCGCTCCATTTCCACACCGTTACTAAGCTAGGAGCCTAATTCTGTGATTTCAAATAGTGTCATCCATTCGAGCAATTCATCAAAGGAAAGTGATCACTTTTTCAGATAGTCAAAAGCTATGTTATAAAATCGGTCTCTTCTTCAAATTCGGAAATCAAAGTCGTTGTTTCAAGTGAAGGGTTTTCGTTTTTAATCCTTTCTACTATCTTCCCCAATGATAATAGTAATATTTTTTCCATAAAAAGCAACCAAAAAGGGATGAAATGTTACGTAATCTTCAACCGATGTTTCGCCTTTTTCACCTAAGGCTTTCTCAAGTTAGATTACTTGGTTAATTATAATTACTTCAGACGGAGACATTGAAAATTTCTTGTATAATCACCGAAAATTTAATATTTGTGATTTTTGATGTCTCCTTCTGAAGTAATTATAATTAACCAAGTAATCTAACTTGAGAAAGCCTTAGGTGAAAAAGGCGAAACATCGGTTGAAGATTACGTAACATTTCATCCCTTTTTGGTTGCTTTTTATGGAAAAAATATTACTATTATCATTGGGGAAGATAGTAGAAAGGATTAAAAACGAAAACCCTTCACTTGAAACAACGACTTTGATTTCCGAATTTGAAGAAGAGACCGATTTTATAACATAGCTTTTGACTATCTGAAAAAGTGATCACTTTCCTTTGATGAATTGCTCGAATGGATGACACTATTTGAAATCACAGAATTAGGCTCCTAGCTTAGTAACGGTGTGGAAATGGAGCGAGCATCTTAGGAACTTTGTAGAAGCTACATCTGCATTGAAAGATTAATTCTATGGAAGGGAAATGGAAATAAACAATCCTACAATTAAATACCAATACGTAAAATTTGTTTGTTATTTGTTTGTAATCCTTGCCCACAATACCATGTAGTGAAAAGAGTCTTTTCGTTAATATTGAATGTTAGGCCAGTGGTCTGATGAACAAAATCGCCTGTTCCTAGAGACTATGGAGTCGATTTTGCAGTGTCAAGTTATCGATCTTCTGAAATCTTAAAATCATTATCATCATAAGGCCGTCAGTCCTAAGACTGGTTGGACATGCAACTTCACTCTTTCTTATCCTGAGCTAGTCTTCGCATTTCCCAAAAACTAGAACAAGCCATCTCTTTAACTACTTGCGAACAGTAATCTAATCTAGGTCTACTTCTACCCCTCCTAACTCCCGTTTCAGTCACTAATATGTCTGACTAAACCTTCATGCCTGAGAAGGTGTCCCACTAACTTATCTTACCTATTTCTTATTGACTTCCATAAAGTCCTCTGTTCTCCTATTCTTTCTAATACCTCTTCATTTCTAACCTTCTCTATCCACGATATCCTCATCATTCACCTGTAACATCACTTTCGAATTATTCTATCCTAAATTTTTTTATGAACATAATCCTACAACGTCCTGACTAGACCCTAGCCAAATATGGCAACCCTAAACATAATTAACTTTACTGAGCCTACTTGATTGGAACTCATAGTTCACAGTACTCGCCACCGTTAGAGAAGACAATCTTATAGGTAATCATTCTTAAGTATTGTAAGTAGTACGTGACTTTTGATAAGTCATGACGAAGCGCTATTATTTAGGGTTGTTTTCGCAAGTGGTTTTCAAATACTTATCCGTCCGCATAATTATCCATACTATTATCTTTATTATAAAAAAAGTCAGACACTAGTTACAGGAAAAGGACGAAGAGTTCAAGGAGGAAGATGGGAGTTTGGGCGCCAGTCAGATGCAGTAGCAAACTGGAGCACACTAATTCGCCCGAAATACCAAAGGAAACCTACATTTAAAACACTGAATAAGGTATAATTCAACAAATTACTATGTGATGTTTCATGTGGTATAGTTTACGATGAAAGAAGAACTATTAAATGCATTTCAAGAATTTATTGTTATCTTCATGATAATCAACCCGAAGACTGGTTGAACACGTACTTCCCTCCATATTTCTAACGATTTGCGAATAGTAATCTAATCTAGGTCTACCTCTATCCCTTTTAACTCCTGCTTCTAATTCTAATATGTCTAGCTAACTATTCATACTTGAGAATGCGTCCTACGAATCTATCTTGCCTATCACTTCAGAACCCTGCAAATAAATTATGAGGGATTACAGTTAAAGCATTATAAGTGGCTGAAATAATAAGCCAAAAAAGATGAATCAAAAAAGTAAAAACGTTATCAAGATTTTCAGGCTTCCACAGTTACGGCCTACGTACTTATATGTCATTTTGAGTATTTCCAATTTCGTCTTCGATTCTGTCACTGGAACAGTGCCACGAATCATTTCGAGATTGTCTGTTTTCTCAAAATATAAATTGATATATGTAAGAACCTCTCATTTGATAGCACCCAAGGCCATATAAACACGATATTCGCAAAATTCTCATCTGACAGAGCCATTTTGCTCAAAAATTTACTGAGACCATAGTCATGCACGCATTTGTAATGAACATAGAATGTCATGATCGTTAATCGTAAGATCAAACGAACTTACCTTAAGTGATGTTCGATCTTGATTATATGAAGGCCTCGTCGAAATAAATAAACGTGTATTGTAGTACCTCCGCCACTGGCTAAATATTCACAACTTTAAAGAAACTACTATGACTCCCTTCCACTCTTTATCGCGTCCGTTGCCTCAGTCTTCGTTTTTGTGCGAAAGTATTCACACGTTGGTCGCGTCCGTTTACGAAAACGTTTGCTAAACGTTGACATTATGCCTCGAAAAATCACCAAAAGGAAAAGGAGTCCGAATAGTTCTAAGGATCAGCATGGAGTTTTTAAAATTCTAAAGACTCGAGTTCAGACTGGAAAAAATGGAAAAACGCCATAAAAACATGGCGGAACGCCGAGTTACGGGTCGAGTTCGAGTTCTATCATCAGACAGTTCGAGCGAGGGAGAAGGAGGCAGCGAAAATGTTTGTGCAAGAAAGAGACGCTACAGCTCCTCGCCATCGTCGCTTTCTTCGCAAATGTCAGCTCACAGTGCTGCGTTGTCAGAGTTACCCGAAGCGGAGTCTTTTGATGCTATTTATAGACACAGAGACGGTGTGAGCGACCGTACCACACCAAATCGTAGCAACGTCCAAGAGAGTGGACCCAGCGGTGTTGCTACCGTTGTCAGTTCTAGTTTACCTGGTAAGGGCTTTTTATTTTTCTTAAGGAAATGAATGTTTTGAGGGAAACATTCCAAAGATTGTCTGCTTGGGTTACAGACAAATAAAACCAAGAGAGTTTTTTCTCTCTCTCCGTTTGTGATAACGGAATTAAACGCATAACTTCCGATTGGGACATCGGAAAGAGATGCCTCCGTTTGTGATAACGGAATTAAATGCATAACTTCCGATTGGGACATCGGGAACAAAACTTAGCTTATGTTTTCTGTTTGTGACAACAGATCTTCTACTTATTTGGGAAGCAAGTGTTTCTTCCTTACATAATGTAGATACTTAGAGATCAATGGTCAATCTCTTCCAATTTTGTTTTTTCAGACAATTCTACTGAAATACTTAAGGAAGCACCAAAGTTGCAGGATGAAATTCTTTCCCTTCTGGGGAATGATGAAAAACCGGAAACGGTCTTTGGGGGTCCAATACATGCGGATATTGCCTCCCGTTGGTCACACATTTTAGCGTCTGGTCTCAGTGAGGAGACCTGTAAAAAATTATCAGCAAAATACTTGCCTCCAAGTAATTGCGTGCTGTTGTGCCCACCACGCATTAACCCGGAAGTAAAACTTGCTTCCTCTGAATCAGTTTTAAGAAGGGATGTGCGGTTGTCTGATCTGCAACAGCAATTGGGGGCCAGTTTAACCGCAATAGGTGTAGCCTTAACCAGTCTCTTAGAAAACTCAACCCCTGATAATAAAAAGTACATACACCTGCTTAGTGATGCAGGTAGAATATTGACTAATATATGTCATTCGGAATCAGTATCCCGCAGGGAACTGATAGCAATCAACCTTAATAAAGACCTTAAAGGCATTTTAACAGACACTCCAATTACGGAGTTCCTCTTCGGATCTGACTTAGATAGCAGGATCAAGTCACTAAAGGAGCTAGAAAAATCAGGACAACAATTAAGGGTCCAGAAAAGACTTGTACGACCTTCTACTCAGATATTAGCAAAAGCTTCAACTTCCAGAAGTCAGGGAAACTTCAGGAGTCCACCTGCTCGAAAGTATGGAGCCAAGAGCAGTGGACAGTCCAATCAGGCTCCGGTGAACTTGACACACAGAAAAACTCGACAATTTCAGGGAAGAAAGATGGACAACAAGACCAATCAGCGAAGTCGTCAGTATCCGTACTAGACACACAGGTCAGTGAGTCCTGTGGGCGTTTAAGAAATTTTTCAAATAGATGGAGAAAAATTCCTGCGTCCAATAAAATATTATCACATATTAGAGGAATTAGTATTCCATTTTATAAGAAACCAAGACAATTAAAAAAACCAATAGAAAATAATTGGTCGTACAGGGAAAGTCTAATTATAGGGGATTTATTAAAGCAGTTATTACAGCTAGGTGCAATTTCTGTGGCAAAATACTGCAAAACCCAGTTTGTTTCAAAAGTTTTTACTGTAAGTAAGCCGAATGGTTCACATCGTCTAATCTTAAACCTCAAAAAATTGAATGAGTTTGTAGAGACTAAACATTTTAAGATCGAAGATAACAAGGTTGTTTCGAGACTCATATCTAAAGATAGCTTCATGTGTACAGTTGACCTTAAAGATGCGTATTATTTATTACCCATACGGTTATCTCACAGAAAATTTTTGCGATTTACCTTTAAAGGCACACTGTATGAGTACAATTGTTTACCCTTTGGGTTAAATTGTGCCCCTCAAATCTTTACAAAGATCCTAAAACCTGTTATAAAATTCCTGAGAGAGAAAAATGTTATTTTGGTAGTTTACTTGGACGACTTTCTAATCCTAGGCCAATCTTTTGATGAATGCATGCATAACGTAAAATTAACTATAAATTTACTTAACTATCTAGGGTTCCTAATAAATTATGAGAAGTGTAACTTATTACCTAGTAACAGTTTTGCTTTCTTAGGGTTTATTTATGATTCAAATACCATGTCGATCTCTCTCCCAGACGACAAACGGGAACGAATACTTAAAATACTAAAACGCCTATTAAAAATATCTGAATGCACAATTAGACGGTTTTCAAGGTTTCTAGGAACCATCGTCGCAATATTCTTTGTCGATTAGACAATACCACAGCCGTAGCCTGTATAAATAAAACGGGAAGTGTCCGTTTTAAACATCTACAGGAAATTACATCTAGAATTTGGAATTATTGTGAAGAACAATATATACATTTTAGCTAGTTATATCAACACCAAAGTCAATAGAGACGCTGATATCGCGTCGCGTCAACAACATAGAGAAACAGAATGGAGTTTATCGGTTGACGCTTTTCAAGAAATTGAGACAGTGTTTGGAAAATTATCGGTCGATTTTTTTGCTAGCAGGATAAATAAAAAATGTCAAAAGTTTTTTTCTTGGGTAAGAGATCCAGAGGCATTTGCGGTGGATGCATTCACTGTTAATTGGAAAAATCTTAATTTCTATGCGTTTCCGCCTTTTGCATTGATCTTACGAATGTTACGAAAGGTCATGACAGATGAAGCTGAAGGAGTGGTAGTCGTACCCCTCTGGACCTCCCAACCATGGTTCCCAGTATTTCAATCGTTACTTATTGAAGAACCTATCATTTTCAAACCTAAAAAATTTTTGCTCTCTTTCAACAGAATTCCACACCCCTTATGGGAGACTCTTTCCCTGGTAGCAGGGAAATTATCAGGAAAGCCCTCTCATTAGGGGAAGTACCACAGGATTCTTTGGAGATATGCCTGCTATCAATAACACAAAATACCTTAAAGCAATATTCTTGCGGCTTAAGGTTGTGGTGGGAGTTCTGCACTAAAAACAATATTAACGTATTTTCTATAAAAATCCCACGTGTTTTACAATTTTTAACGGATCAGTTTAAAAAGGGTGCTTCTTATGGTTCACTTAATAGCTACAGATCGGCGCTAGCACAGATAGCGGGTCCGAACCTGGCACAAGACTTTAGGATCAAGAGATTCTTCCGAGGCGTCTTTAGTTTAAGACAGCCGTTACCCAGATATGAAAATACATGGGACCCTGGCATAGTGGTTGATTACTTTAGATCTCTTGCCAGTAATCCTATTACTCTTGAATTCCTTTCAGAAAAATTAGTTACTCTTTTAGCACTTGCTACAGGGCAGCGTATTCAAACATTAAGTCTCATTGAAATTAGTAACATATTAATCCACCCTGATCGGATCGAGATAAAAATTCCTCATAGAATAAAAACAACATCTCTCAAAAGAACTCAACCATTTTTAGTCTTGCCTATGTATCATCTGGATCCCACAGTTTGTGTAGCCACAACATTGCTACAATACTTAGATGAAACGAAGGATTTGAGGGGTCCTTGCGATTTCTTAATTATCACACATAAAAGACCCTTTCGAAAAGCAACATCGCACACTCTTGCTAGATGGATAAAAAATGTCTTAAGAAAAAGTGGAATTGACATAAACACCTTTAAGGCGCACAGTACACGTCATGCAGCAACGTCAGCGGCAGCTAAGAATGGCGTAAGCTTTGACTCTATTAGACTTGCTGCAGGCTGGACCCAAAATTCAAGATCATTTGCAAATTTCTACAATAGGCCTATAATAGACAATAAAAAGTTTGCTAACACAATATTATCAGCGTCTGTTTATTAAATTTAGACATGCACATGTACTTGAGTTACCTATTATGATTATGTATCAATAGCCTTATAGTTAGTTGGTTTTCATTTATATACATATAGATATATATTTACCTTATACTTTTGTACCATTGGTTTTTGTTTTTTCAATTAAATAAAACATATCTTCATATAATATATGTTTAAGTAATTTTTTGTTGCAACTACTTTAAACAGCTACAATACACGTTTATTTATGAGACGAGGCCGAATATAATCGTAAGATCAAACGAACTTACCTTAAGTGATGTTCGATCTTGATTATATGAAGGCCTCGTCGAAATAAATAAAGTCCCAACCCAGACCCATTTTATGTAATCCCTAATATTGTTGCAACAACTCTTTAAAATAAAACTGAGGCAACGGACGCGATAAAGAGTGGAAGGGAGTCATAGTAGTTTCTTTAAAGTTGTGAATATTTAGCCAGTGGCGGAGGTACTACAATACACGTTTATTTATTTCGACGAGGCCTTCATATAATCAAGATCGAACATCACTTAAGGTAAGTTCGTTTGATCTTACGATTAACGATCATGACATTCTATGTTCATTACAAATGCGTGCATGACTATGGTCTCAGTAAATTTTTGAGCAAAATGGCTCTGTCAGATGAGAATTTTGCGAATATCGTGTTTATATGGCCTTGGGTGCTATCAAATGAGAGGTTCTTACATATATCAATTTATATTTTGAGAAAACAGACAATCTCGAAATGATTCGTGGCACTGTTCCAGTGACAGAATCGAAGACGAAATTGGAAATACTCAAAATGACATATAAGTACGTAGGCCGTAACTGTGGAAGCCTGAAAATCTTGATAACGTTTTTACTTTTTTGATTCATCTTTTTTGGCTTATTATTTCAGCCACTTATAATGCTTTAACTGTAATCCCTCATAATTTATTTGCAGGGTTCTGAAGTGATAGGCAAGATAGATTCGTAGGACGCATTCTCAAGTATGAATAGTTAGCTAGACATATTAGAATTAGAAGCAGGAGTTAAAAGGGATAGAGGTAGACCTAGATTAGATTACTATTCGCAAATCGTTAGAAATATGGAGGGAAGTACGTGTTCAACCAGTCTTCGGGTTGATTATCATGAAGATAACAATAAATTCTTGAAATGCATTTAATAGTTCTTCTTTCATCGTAAACTATACCACATGAAACATCACATAGTAATTTGTTGAATTATACCTTATTCAGTGTTTTAAATGTAGGTTTCCTTTGGTATTTCGGGCGAATTAGTGTGCTCCAGTTTGCTACTGCATCTGACTGGCGCCCAAACTCCCATCTTCCTCCTTGAACTCTTCGTCCTTTTCCTGTAACTAGTGTCTGACTTTTTTTATAATAAAGATAATAGTATGGATAATTATGCGGACGGATAAGTATTTGAAAACCACTTGCGAAAACAACCCTAAATAATAGCGCTTCGTCATGACTTATCAAAAGTCACGTACTACTTACAATACTTAAGAATGATTACCTATAAGATTGTCTTCTCTAACGGTGGCGAGTACTGTGAACTATGAGTTCCAATCAAGTAGGCTCAGTAAAGTTAATTATGTTTAGGGTTGCCATATTTGGCTAGGGTCTAGTCAGGACGTTGTAGGATTATGTTCATAAAAAAATTTAGGATAGAATAATTCGAAAGTGATGTTACAGGTGAATGATGAGGATATCGTGGATAGAGAAGGTTAGAAATGAAGAGGTATTAGAAAGAATAGGAGAACAGAGGACTTTATGGAAGTCAATAAGAAATAGGTAAGATAAGTTAGTGGGACACCTTCTCAGGCATGAAGGTTTAGTCAGACATATTAGTGACTGAAACGGGAGTTAGGAGGGGTAGAAGTAGACCTAGATTAGATTACTGTTCGCAAGTAGTTAAAGAGATGGCTTGTTCTAGTTTTTGGGAAATGCGAAGACTAGCTCAGGATAAGAAAGAGTGAAGTTGCATGTCCAACCAGTCTTAGGACTGACGGCCTTATGATGATAATGATTTTAAGATTTCAGAAGATCGATAACTTGACACTGCAAAATCGACTCCATAGTCTCTAGGAACAGGCGATTTTGTTCATCAGACCACTGGCCTAACATTCAATATTAACGAAAAGACTCTTTTCACTACATGGTATTGTGGGCAAGGATTACAAACAAATAACAAACAAATTTTACGTATTGGTATTTAATTGTAGGATTGTTTATTTCCATTTCCCTTCCATAGAATTAATCTTTCAATGCAGATGTAGCTTCTACAAAGTTCCTAAGATGCTCGCTCCATTTCCACACCGTTACTAAGCTAGGAGCCTAATTCTGTGATTTCAAATAGTGTCATCCATTCGAGCAATTCATCAAAGGAAAGTGATCACTTTTTCAGATAGTCAAAAGCTATGTTATAAAATCGGTCTCTTCTTCAAATTCGGAAATCAAAGTCGTTGTTTCAAGTGAAGGGTTTTCGTTTTTAATCCTTTCTACTATCTTCCCCAATGATAATAGTAATATTTTTTCCATAAAAAGCAACCAAAAAGGGATGAAATGTTACATAATCTTCAATCGATGTTTCGCCTTTTTCACCTAAGGCTTTCTCAAGTTAGATTACTTGGTTAATTATAATTACTTCAGACGGAGACATTGAAAATTTCTTGTATAATCACCGAAAATTTAATATTTGTGATTTTTGATGTCTCCTTCTGAAGTAATTATAATTAACCAAGTAATCTAACTTGAGAAAGCCTTAGGTGAAAAAGGCGAAACATCGATTGAAGATTATGTAACATTTCATCCCTTTTTGGTTGCTTTTTATGGAAAAAATATTACTATTATCATTGGGGAAGATAGTAGAAAGGATTAAAAACGAAAACCCTTNAATTTCTTGTATAATCACCGAAAATTTAATATTTGTGATTTTTGATGTCTCCTTCTGAAGTAATTATAATTAACCAAGTAATCTAACTTGAGAAAGCCTTAGGTGAAAAAGGCGAAACATCGATTGAAGATTATGTAACATTTCATCCCTTTTTGGTTGCTTTTTATGGAAAAAATATTTTCAGGTTTTTTTTATTTGCATTTTGGTTTGCAAGCCAATAAAGGCAGATTTTCTTTATTCTAATCGGGATATTTTAGTCTTTTTGTAGCGACGACGCAGGAACAGAGAGCTTAATAACGTAGACAGTCCCGATATATATCGAGGCGCATCACAATCCTAATCGTGTTCTTCAGTAGAATTGTAATTTACCCGAATATTTGAACAGGAATTTCAAACATAACGGAAAGTGTGAACAGTTTTTGTCAACAGTAATACTCCGTTTTACTATTGTTTTATTTTTAGATAGGAGAAGTTTTGTAATCGGTAAATAAAAAAGTGAGTTATAACGTACAAATATATATATTGTACTAGACTTGGAGCATAAATGTCACACATTATCGAAAAATGATTGTTAATAACGTGTATGTATATGTGTATGTGTGCAAACTTTACGAATTACAAATTATTACATCCATTAACGGATTTTATAGTCATTGACGAACTAGCAAATAGAAGAAGAGGTGTAATATGAGTTAAACAAATAGCATCAAAACCACTGTGTGTGCTTAAGTGATTAAATAAAAAACGTGCTACATGGTATAAGTACAGGTTTGAACTGTTTTGTTATGTCTAATGTACCCATGATATACGTGCAAATATTGGCTTAAGACAATACGTTTCTGTTTTTTCCCATTTAAAGATCGTTCGGAAAAGGTTCGGTATGTGAACTCGCAAACTTGCTTTAAAACGTATCCAACTATAGGTACATGCAACGATAGGGTACATGAAAATCACAAGGAGTTCTGTGGGACAACTAAATAAAACACAGGAACTTAAAATTTGACATACATAAGTAAAACGTTTGAAAACTTGAAATGGATTATATTTTTGGATTTTTATGTGTTATCATGTAGAGTGATTTATCTAAATCCTTTATTAGAATTTAATAGTGAACCAAAAGAAGTAAGGATTTTAGATTTGGTATACACCCTAGTCAAAAATTTTCAGTCTCTCTCCAGTCTCTTAGAGTCTTTCAGCGTCTCTCACAGTCTCTCAGTTATTGCCTAGGTGTTTTTATTGATCTCTCACAGTCTCTGTATGAGAGACTCGAATGATAAAATTGTTAATTCAGAGATTCGAGTCTCTCACAGAGAGACTGAATGAATAAAACTGAAAAATTGAGAGACTCGAGTCTCTCGTAGAAAGACTGGGATCTCCGAAATATGTTGAACTTAGAAAATTTTAACCATGTCAATCGAGACACCACTTATTGAGAGATTTCAGTCTCTCGTTCAGAGACTGGATACGAAATGAGGATCTCTCTATGAGCGACTCTAGTCTCTCGTTCAGAGATTCGAGTCTCTCGTTCAGAGACTGGATACGAAATGAGGATCTCTCTATGAGCGACTCGAGTCTCTCGTTCAGAGACGCTAAACAGTTTTTTTGACAGTCTCTCTCAGCAACACCAGAGAGACTCGATGAGAGACGGAGACTCGACTCTCGCTTTCAGAGACTCTGAGAGACTGAACATTTTTATCTCGGGCAGTCTCATTACGCCAGTTTTCGTCCATTGATTCACAGTTTTGAGATGCGAAAAAAATTTGTTCTAATAATGAATTATCAGTAAATTATAACTTAATTTATTGCTAGTATACCTATCACATATAATTTGTTATTTATCAGTAAGTTAATTACTTGTATTGTCTGTTTTTTTATAAACAATATTGAAG